ATGAGGTGACTCAACTGATTAAGAATTTGAAACTTTAAATTGAAAAACTTAAATTTAAATTTGAAATCAAGTAAAAAAGGATTTGAAAAAAGAAAAGAATTATTCTCTTTGGTATAGCTCATCATAAAATGTACCAAAATAAAGTTTAAAAACTAAAAAAAAGTTTTAAAAATTGAGGGACCAAAATGAGTTAAATTTCTAAATTAAGAGACCAATTCTTAGTTTAACCATAACAAAGTCTTTAACAAGGCAGGGCTGCCTACCGCTATTCTAGAAGACCGCCGGCCCCCCTAATAATTATCCTTAAATTCATTGCATCCAAATTGTGATAGGGATACAGTTTTAAAAATAAAAATTTAAAATTTAAAGTTTATTATCAATCATTTAAATAATTTAGTAACCATTTTATTTAATTACAAATAAAAAATTTTAAATTTAAATCACATGATATATAATAAAATAAAATATAAAATATAAAAAAATCATTTTTTATTATACAATCAAATTAAAAAAAAAAAAATCCATAGCTTACTTCTCTGTCCTTTTGCTTCGCCAAGTCCACGTCATTTTAATATATTAAAGTTTCAAAGTAGAAAAATTTGTTGACTCTGTTGTCTTTTATTGAAAAGGAAATTTAGTAGATGAAGAAACAAATGGGTAGGGGCGGAAAGTCCACAGTTATTTTCCTTCTTATCCCCCTCACCCACCCCCAAAAAGCTTATTTTCTTTCCTCTTTTTCATTTAGAAAAAGAATTTTTTAAAAGTATCAAAGAAAGGAAAAAAATTAAAAAGTTAGTGCAAATTAAAGTTGTTAATTTTCCTTTCCCTAATCAATAATCCATAGCATCTAAAAGATAGATGCAACAATAATTCAATAAAATGCGTTTCTGAAAAAAAAAGAAAAGAAAAGAAGTAAAATGTGAGATTTTCTTGGATCGGTGGTTTGGTGCTATCATGACTTAACATTGGTGCCCAATATTAGGGCTGCTTTTAAGATTTTTGTACATTATTATTATTATTTAATTTTCTTATATTATGTTAAAAAAAGTGAAAATAAGGATCCTTGATATTTTTAATATTAAAATTACTTGTAAAATTATTTAAATACTTTTAATAAAAAAAATTTATATGTTAATTGATTAAAGGTATTTATATTTTCTTCGTTATCATTCATTAAGGGTGTTTACATGAAATGATTTGATTTTTCACAGTCCAATTATATTATTATGTTATTGCAAAAATTACGTTAGTATTTGACAATTAATTTGAAAAAATATTGCTTATTTTGATAAATTATTAAAAATATAAATTATTAGTTATAACT